GGGGAGCCTTCGCGATGATAAATGTCTGTGCCAGTTCACAGTTTGGTACTACTGCGACTTAAACTCTGAACTACTTCTCTGTTTGTAATCCAACAATACAGTAAGAGGGTGAGACGATAGACACAGCAGGACGAGGGCGGAGGAGTGGAAACAAAAACAAAGAGAGAGAGAGAGAGAGAGAGAGAGAGACAGACACGTTCAAGGTCAGAGATAGACGCTATCAGCCTTCCTACCTACACTCCCCTAGTACTTGCAGCTGTAACATTAGTAGTCTAGTACAAACAGGACTCAATGGAAACTACAAATCGAATGGAAAACACCATTAGGTCACATGGCAAAGTACACCAGCAGCATCGTAAGAGAAAAGCTCACGGCACTTCAGCGAGAAACAACAAGAGACGGGACCATGCAAGGAAGAAAAAGTATTGGAAAAATAAACATTTAAATATTTTGAAACATGCTAAGGTCTCTTGGCTGCAATGAATGAGCAGTCAAAATAAATAAAATACGAGTTTAAGTCTCGAGCCAAGCAGTTTTTGGAAGTCTTTTGGGAGTTGAGCTATTTTATACTGAGCCAATTTGTATCATGTGTTGCCAGGAATGTGTTTGTACAGAAAACTGCAGCACGGATGGTTGTGAAAATATCTGAATATTCTGAAGACGTGCGATATTAATACCCTCCTTGCTTCGCGGGCAGACTTGCATGTGGTGTTTAGAGAAAAGGGGCCTAATGAAAACTGAGAACAAGACTTTTGAGTTTTAGAAGCAGATTTAGATACATAGTTGAAAGGAAGTTGCCGTCCGGAAAAGAGCGGATTATAAGACTACGAATCCTCCCAGACAATAACGACGTGATCTACTTTCACGCATTAAAACTGTCCCACAGCGCCGGAGAAGCCCTGAACTCTCACCTTTTGACCAGTCCTTGATCTTCTTATCCTCCGTCCTCGTCACAATCTCCGTCTCTCTCTCTCTTCCATCCACTGTTCTTCCCTCTATGGGTATGTTCCCTGTGAACAGGTAAGAAATACCATGACTGACCGATCTAGTCATTTATTTGTTTATTTATAAAAACAGGCATTTTGTCGTTTTTGAAGCACAAAAACAATGATCACTTTGACTTGAAGACGTCAGCTTGGAACATTTTTTTATCAAATCATATCGGATTAAACCAAAATATATTTCACAACTAATCTAATAAAAACAAACATTGGTTGGATCCCTTAAATCATCTATTTATATCTCCAGTCTCTACGGCATGGTTCGCCAAAGCTCTCCCTAACTCCCTATTCTTTGGATTTCCATAGGGAAGTTTAATACTACCTGGTACTTTTATTTTGAAAACCATTTGAAGTCAGGTTCAAAAGGAGCTGAGCAAACACTAAGAGCAAACGTTAAAACCCTGCTGACCACTGATGAGTCAATGAGCATGGTAACTTGCGCACATTTAAATAGAAAAGAAACGTCAAAAGCATTGCATTTTACTACAAACTTGGCCATACACTTCCTGTTTGGTTGCCAATGTCACACAATTTCAAGCAGCGCCACTAGAGCCAATAGCATAGGGGGAAAAGGAATAGAGTACCAAAAGTGAGGTGAGCCGTATCATGCAGAGAAAAGACAGCATGTTTGTTGTATCACTTTTTGCTGATATAAGGCCTGGTGACAAAACACCAAGCCTCAATATATAAAAGATTGTACTTTACTTTTGGCTCCCATAAAAAATGACCTCCATTTAGTGTGGTATTAGTTTGTAATCAGACTGTGGCTTCTCCCTCGGCGGGTGTAAAGTGTATCTGCACCGGTCGCAGCGGGTGTGTCATTTAGCCAGCAGGAGAAAGCTGCAGGCTAATCCGATAATGGGATTACAGCACCACACTTACCTAAGCTATAAACAGAGAGATGTACGGAGACGCTGAACCGGCTCACACGGATACCACGGCTGGACCATTAAATATGTAGTCAACTAGTTCAGTTAGATAGTTGCACGGTGGCTCATATTCAATATTGAAACAGTGTTGCTATAGCAGCCAACAACAAGATCATGATATATGATTCTGCTGTAAAAATGAAAGGTTTCAATGTTCCAAGTATTATCTTCATTAGCAAAGGGATGTTTCCTATCCCTTTAAAAAGGAAATGTTAAAATGGCAGGCATCCCCTGTAGAATGCATCAACTCATTACCATCAGTTAAATCTAATGGCAAATGTATCAAAGCCAGGGGAAAAACTATTGGAAATCACTTAACAGGACACTTACAGTCAGTGATGTGGATCTAAATGCATCGTCCTAGGAAAAATCCATACATCTTACAAACAGCACAGCTGAGCGCAGCAGTGATCAGAGCTGATGCTAAAGCCATGTGTAACCAAAAGACCGTGAACGTATTTACTACATGATGGAGGTTTGCTTAGTGTTTGGGAACCGGTTGGGGACACTGATAAGCTGAGGACTAAGGTGTCTGAAAAAGAAAAAAGGTATACGGTTGCTGTCAACGGCGCATAAGTCAAATAAAAAGAAACAACTACACATCGGGGCTTACATTTCCTTAAGCTAATAAGCGGAAGAATGAGTCTTAAAACCAGGAGATCAGCCTTTCCATTTCCATCGACTCATACTGAACATTTTGTACGCGTTTTTGCTTGGATCCCTGAAATAAGAAATCATTTGTAATTGTAAA